CAAACTGTGCAGCCTGTAAAACAGATATTTTCATGTAGCGAGACACATTTTTACAACTTGTTCGTTAACTTGTTCGCAGCTTTAATTTGTGCGCACATCTCCTCTCCCCCCCCTGCAGCAACTCTTCTTTTGCAAGTAACAAAATATGGACAGTGCTTCTGTCATATATTTCTGCTGAGTGATTCAAGCTTTTTGGAAAGCTGAGGCGAGGATGGCAATTAGATTTTCTCCTGCTACGTTCCATTTTTCAGCCTTCAATCAATAATTCATTTGAATGTCCACTGGCTGCATGAGGGTAAAAAATGTTATGTGTTTGCCAATTTTGATAGTCGGTCATAAATACATTTCTTTGCATTTGTTCCACATGAAACTGTCCGTAGTGACAGAAGACTCGGCGCTAAATGAGGAAATCCATAGCCAGAAAATCGCTGTTTCGGATGCATTAAAAGGAAAGGATAAGCTAATACGTGGTGTTAAAGAATCCTTGATGGGAACTCCTGTGTATACTACGAAATACTTTTTGCTCAGGATAGCAAAGATGCATCGATGAATAATTTACACATATCCTGTTAGCCTATAATGAAGATAAAGAGGATCCCGGAGAAGAGGTTAATGTTCCTCTTTAACTGAAGATTCACAGGAACCCAGAGGGCCTGTAAAAGGGGGCTAGTAAATGTTTTTCTAGAGCACATTAAATGTTAATATTACCTTTACTCTAAGTACATGCAGGATTAAAAACAGTGAGTTTGTGTCCCCCTAAACAGATACTAACCTGAGTTGTTCTCATACAAAGTGAGATGCAGAGTTTTGGATTCGCTATTATGTTATTTTCTGAAAAAGGCAGACAATATCCTCAACACAAGAACAAATTAAGTGTGTGCATGTTAGAAAAACAGGTGGACAGGAAATGTTTTTAGGCTTTTTTAGCACTTTTCAACAAGGCAATTCAAAAACATTAAAAGCATTAGAGCCACAACCAACAAAAACAAGCTCAAATAGAATATGAAAGGTATAAAATACAAGACGAAAAGTTACAGACCAGTTTAAAGAGTAGTTTTTTTACCTATCTGTACGACAAGTCTCCTCAGCCACTCAGCTTTCAGCAACTTAAAGAAAGTGATAGAGGCCTGTCTCCCATCCTCTGGTTAACAGTATATGACGTTAAATGGTTAGTGAGGGACATCAGAAGGTGTCTTTATAAAACCAGCTGCTGCTGCGTACGTGCTCTCCCATCATGCCGCACCCCCCCCCCCCTGTCAGGATGATGCATGGCCGCGTGCGTAAACAGGATATCTTCCTTTAATAAGTGGACCTGACAGGCTGCATGATGTTAATTTAATCGCTTTCTTTTGAGTGACACTTTTGTTTTCATCAGTACAAAGGGAAGGCGTGGTGAGGGATGGCATGAGCTGAATAGAAGCAGACTATCAATAACGTATGATAAATAATAAACAATGTGATCCATCACTTAAAGTAATACACATGCCCCACCTGATTGGTTAAACACAGTCAAGACTGCAGTAGGAGATGATGTTAAAAAGGTCAGACTGTTTGAGTCTCTTGGAGATCATGCATTGTGTTTGTGATGCAGCTAATCTTGCACACAACATAGCCTGATTTATAACTAAAAACAATTAAATCCTTAGTTAAGACACCATGAAACCTAGGCAACAGGTTGTTTTTTTGTATCTAAAAAATGCCTCATAGTGTTTGTGTTTTCATGACTGTATGCTCAAGGACCTCTTATGGTTGCAGTGATTAACAGTTTTTGAGAAAGCTATTTTATTGACTGTTTAATACCCTCGCTCACTGCTGACTCCTCTAAACCGGCCTGATGATTTGCAGAGTTAAAATCTTTGAGATCCTATTAGATTCAACATGATGAAATTGGCTATTTTTGTTAGTGCTATTGGCCTTCTGCTACCGCTCATCTTTGTCTGCAAAACAAAACAACTGCTTTAGTAGGAAAGCATTGAGGTCAATCTACTAGGCTGAAAACAAGTCTTTGATATTCTGTAGCAAGCCTTTGTTTTGGTATAAAAAACACACTTAAAGGTTGGTCTCATTTTGAACCGTAGCATCTGCAGATCAATTTCATACCTCCAATGTTAGAGTCCACATAAGTTGGCCTCAATATAAGTTAAATACATCTCTGTTCTGGATATTTGCCGCCATTTGGACTGTAAGGGAGCCTTGATGGACAATTGAGTGATTGAGATTCAACTGTTTATGATAAGAAGACACATTTACAGATCTGCTGAGTTATCATACATGAACCCTGGTTGATGTGACTGCACACAAAATAATGTTCATTTCTGTTTTCGTCCTAAAAATGCAGCATACTTGACATTTCTTTGCTTATTTCCTATTGCTGTATTTCATCTAACATGGGCTGTTTTGCACTTAATGTATACATGTTGCCATATTCTCTACTGCCATAAACATTCTTCGATGCTTTTTTACCTCCCTATGCCAATCTATTGTGCTGTTATGCCCGATGCCTTGTTATCGTATACACGCCCACATTTTAGCTCCGGGCAGAAAGGCTGCTTTGCTGTGTTTCTCTCCATGATCATGCACAGAATCCATAAGAGCGATAAGCCGCAGTGCAAACAACTGAGAGGTTGTTAATATATCCTGTAGCTGCTCTGAACTGCTGCCAGGTTGCCTTTTCTTAGTCTTTATTGCTACTTAGATATACATGGGTAACTCACTGCAGGACTGTGCAACTAAAGCAGGCTGCTGTAGCAACAACCAATACATTTACTGAGGACGTTGAAACCTGAAATGCTGGTTTGGCACCGAAAAGCAGACTTTTGGCTGTAGTTCTCAAAGTGATCCTGCATTAGATACATAAAATCAGTGTCAAGGTTAGATTTTAGTTTTAATATTAAAATAACAATATCAAAGATTTTCATTTAGATAAATATTGGGTAAATCGCTACTGCTAATAAAGGTATAACAATGTTGATGATAACTTATCAAATCTCTTATTTTTGCGGTATAATGAAAAACTGGGTGTCTGTGGTGACATTCCCGGGAAAAACAATCTTTTGGCAATCTTTGGGAAGTTAGATCCAAAAACACGATACACTGCAATTACTGCTTATCGCCATATGTCCTGTCGAAGATAACGAAATCTTCAAGATTGTAATTTTAATTGAACAGAAACAACATAAACTGGCTGGGACATCACAAACTAAACATGCATCTGTGAATTTAAATGCTTGCAGGTTGTCATAGTTCAAGAACTGATACATTAGCAACTAGCAACATTAGCAGCCAGCAACATTAGCAACTAGCAACATTAGCAACATTAGTAAATGGCAACATTAGCCACTAGCAACATTAGCCACTAGCAACATTAGATGGTTTATGACCACTGATTGTATGTATCGCTGCTAGAAACAAGCATAAAGAGTGTGTCTGTAAAGGCATTCAGGGTTTCCTTCTGGAGTTAGTGTATTATTCTGGTTTGTAACAGAGAACATCGTTGGTTTCCCAGTCTTTAGCTTTGGTACAGTTTTCTTTTCATGTTCACAAAAAAAGACAGAGCCATTCAAAGAGGTCATGCAAGATCAGCAGGTGGTTTCGTAAAATGAGTTTCCCTCTGAAGGTTTAAAAAATAAAAGTCATATCTGTGCTGCTGTGGTAGTTGTTCATGAGCTGCTTAATTGTATTAATAAAAATGGTGCCAAGCTTAGAGGTTCAATCTCTCAGACCAGACAAGAGGTTGTTCCAACAACAGCGTTTACAAAAAGAAAAAGCAGAAGAAGCTATTTTATCTCGGTCAAGAGGAAACTAAAGGAAAAATTAAATGTACATGTGGATAATTTATATCGAAGTCCTCGTTAATTATTTCACAATCTATTGTACTTTTTAAATGTTCTGAACGGAACCATTTTATATTGTATATATATGAATATATTTTGTTTTATTTTGTACTGTTCATTGTACTTTGCTTTAATTTAGAAACAATATAAATAAAGAACAATACTGTGGCAACATCTAACTGCTGTATTTAGTGTTTTTCTCAAAGGGGTATCATTAAGCAACAATTAATAAAGGTTAACTTCAAATGTACTTGTTTCAGATTCCTCAAATGTATTTTAAATCCTCGGATTGTAAACTAAATATCTTGGGATTATTGGTTTGATAATGTGACCATGAATTGAGTGTGATGTGTATTTTGCTCTGTTTGCAGAAGATTAATAGACAATATAATGAATTGATAAATAAATGATCAGTAAATAAAGTAATACTTTTAAAGCCCTGAACATCATCGTTATTCAGAAATAGTTTAGCTTAAAGCTGTATGAATTACAACATGATACTGTATTGCACTAAACAATAACTGATCTTAAAAAATGATCTTTTACCAACAGGATTGGGAGGGTTACTTTCAAAATGTAACAATAAATGGTAACCTGCAAAAAATGTAATCACTAAAGTAATTTAGGTAATAAGACCGTTAAACACCTGAACAGTTGAAACAACATCCCTAATATTCATCTGGCTGCTACTTAAAAAATATTTTTTAATTATTTATCTATTTACCTATATATCCTATTTCAATAACTTGCATAGACTCTTATTGCACTATTTAACTTTTTTTAAACTATTTTTCTTTTTATATTACTATTTACTTGCACTATATTTGTCTGTTTATCTGTGTTTTGTGTTGCACTGTTGGAGAAGCCATTGACACAAGATTTTCATCGGTATAACTACACTGTGGCTATGTTCACATGACTAAATAAAGAACCTTGAACCTTGAATTGAACCTGATTACTTCCCATTACTTTTGGATTACCTCAATATCAAATTAAAGTTGTAACATTATAATCCTGCTAGTAATTCCCACATTTTAGAAATGTAACAGTAATCAGATTACGTATTTAAGGAAATACAGTACATGTAATCCATTGCTCCCAAACCCTGTTAACGCAAACATTATTAACATGTTCTCCAAAAGACAGAATCTAAATGAGCTGTATTTGATATAAAGCCTTTATTAATTTGAAAACAGAAACAAAAGAAAGTTCAATGTAGAAGTGTTCATTTTGTTCTGAGCCTCTTCCCTGGTCTCTGGTCAGCGTCGGGTTCTGAGCGGTTCTTCTTCACTCTCGTCGTCACTTCTTCCTCCTCCAGGAGGGGGATCTGCTGCTGTTTGGCTGTAGCCTGCGCCCACAGACATATCTCCACCCTGTGGGGGGTCCAGTCCTGCAGGGGGTCCGCTGAGGGGAGAGGACAGAACACGCATCAGAGGAAAAGTGGATTTTATTGGGCTTCTATTTTTACCAAATCAAGGGGAAAAGACTGAGAGGGAGAACATTTCCTTTGATTTAATGTGTTGCAGCAGTAAAACGTTACATCTTTCAGTTTTTATAGCCACTGTTAAAAATTTCGAGAAAACTGATTAAACAGGATTCAAATGTACAGTGCTGTGCAAAAAGTATAATTAATAGTCTCAAATTTAATCTAATAAAAAGGTAAACATAAAATATTAAAGGCTTGATTTAAAAGCACAGATATGAGGTTTGATCAGACAATAAGCTAGTCTCTTTATAAGCTAATTGCTTTTTAGTTTGTAGAATCATATTTAATGTGCTTTTTTGACAATGTAGAATCCAGATGCACCCACCACCCTTCGTGTCTGCATCATTAGCTCACCTTTGTTTAGTTTCTCAGTACACTGGACCATTTTGCCCAGGTACAGAGCGTAGTGCTTGGCTGTGTATTGGATGGGCTTCAGGCCCGGCACGCTCTCCATGGCTTCATCTGACATGAACGCAGCCTGTTCTGGAGCTCCTGCCGACAACACAGCTGGAACAAAATGGACAGTCAGTCCTGAGCAAAGCTGAGGGTGGCAATGACGAGAATACAAACTTTTCAAACAGAGCAGGGAGTCCCAGCCACACAGAGGTAGCACACTCACTGAGAGAGAACTCACTTTAAGAGGATCACACAGAGATGTTTTATCAGTGTGAATTCCAAAGCTTTTATCTGTTTGATGAAAGCAGATTGGATTCAGCGTGTGCAGAAGCAGAATATAGATGCTGTGCTAACCTGAGGCAGTGGCTGGGCCGACTCCTTTCAGGGAGCTGAGCTCTGCGATGGCTGCCTTCACGTCAGGCAGGAGGCTGAAGGCCTTTCTGGAGCTCCTCTCCACGGTGTCCTCACTGTTGGACGCCACCAGCTGCTGCAGCCTCGGCCTGAACTTCCCTCTCTGCGGAGTAAAAGCACACAGGGCCACTCAAGGACACAGCTGAGGCTCTGTCAGCCTCTTAGTGGCTCTGCATAGCAATACGATATGTCTGAGGAATTATTTGCTGACAAAATCTTTTTGTGTTGCAAAAACCCAGTTCCTCTGGGATTATTATGGTTTTATGTCTAGATGTCACTCACAGTGAGCTTCCACTCCATCAGTCTCACCAGCTCCGACTGAGTGACATGTTTGTCAGGGCGACTTGAAATGAGTGTCGGCAGCTCCTCTTGGTACCTGACAGCAGATACTCACAGGTCAGTCTCAGTTCAAATCTCACGCTCAAAACAAGGAACAACTTCAGAGCTGGAACAATTAGTCAATTAATCGATTACTTGATCAACAGACAAGTTAATGGCAATTATTATGTTACTTCGTTTCAGTCGTTTTTCATGCAGAAATAGCAAGACAATTTGATTACATGACTCCTCATATATAGACATTTATATACAGATGTTCAACCTTTTATGTCTAGTTAAAACCATGTATCTCCAGATGTGTTGATTTAAAAACGTTGTGATGGACTGAAGGATAAAGTGTTCCTTCATGTGTTGAGAACATTAACATCAATTATTTGAAAAGTCTCTTAGATCTATTTTGGAAAATGCAGGAATAATTATTTACCACTTTTCGAGGTCCAGCAGCTTTCCAGGTTTCTTGCTTTTGGATTTGGCCTCCACTACATCCCAGTATTTGCCAAACACTGTCCTCCATGTGTTTGGTTCCTCACAAGAAAACAGAGAACTCATGGCTGCAGAGAGATCACACCATCACCTGCAAACATAGGCAAACAAAAGCAGTTTACAACCTCTATTCTACAGCACTGTACCATTTATACTAATATATCTATTCAAATACCTCGTTTCAACAAATGCACCGTTCACTTTTAAAGAACAGATGAAAACAGAACAAAAAAGAGGGGAAAACCTTCAGAAGACTCCTGAATGAATTGTAGTAGTGTCGATGCTTCCGTAACGGAATTCTCGCGAGATGACAGTGCAAAATACTACTTCCGGTGCCGCAAGCAGTGAGCAACAGTTTCAGAAGGTTTGTCCTCCTAAAATACTCTATTATTTACCTTGCATAGACATTGTACCCCAGTTGGATATATTATTTAAATATGTCTCTAGTTGTCCGACATAATTGTGAAACTTGAGTCGTGCGCGTTTCGTCTTTGCAAAAGTAGTCGGTAGCTAGGTTAGCCAGCTAGCATTAGCATCACATTCCTGTCATGTTTATGGTGAAAACACTGTGCAGGAGTTTAGCTGTTAGCAGCCAACAACACGCCCACAGACAAGTGAACAACAAAGAGAAACGTATCTACAATTCAACCCAATTTCAGAGGAGACTAGACCACCACTTAAGCACAAAACCAAGGGGATGTAAGTAATAATAGGTCAATGTGAATAGTAGCACATGTTGTTTAGGGGAGAAGCTCTCAATTGTGGGATCCCTCGTTTTGTCTTGACAGCATCATTATATCTTCAGTTGAGCTAAAGCAGCTATTGGTCAATTCCAGCACGAAGTAGAAATGGGTTAACACAAACCTCAGCACAGCAATACGTTATATAGATGAGACAGAAGTAAACAAACAGAAGGGACAGTATAAAAACCTAAAATGAGAATCTGTTGCTAGAAGAAGCGTTCCTATTTCTCCCAGCTAAATGTCGTCCTAGAGACCTTTCATACCTCAGGAATGTCTCCTCTAGGTTCATGTATGTTTCCCTAGGAAATCATCCATAACAATGTATTGCTACCAAAATAGTTTTTGACTTTTGACATTTTAAATCTCAACATAAACTGCAACTAAGGTATGTTTTCATTAAAACTTAATCTGTCAATTATTTTATAGATTATTCCTTTTAATAACATTTCCATCCCAGCTCTATTAATGTCTTTAAATAACGTTTCTGATAGTTACGAACATATTCAGTTTAGTGTGGTAAACAAACAGAGAAAAGCAGGGAATATCCATATTAAAGAGGCTGAAACATTATCTCTGACATTTTTGCATTTAATAATTACTTGAACAATTATTTGATTTGTTTGCGATTATTTTTAATCTAATCAATTAGCTGACTTATTTTAGCAGCTCTACTCCACAGTGGCTAAATACATTTGTACCATTCAATTGTGATAGACTTAAAATATCTGTCCTAAGTATGAACCCAGATAACATCATGCTGTGTGTTTCTCTCTCTAGTTAATTGGCTCTCATGGGAGCACATGAAGAAGACTCTGTGCTGCAGCAGAAAATAACAACACCGGTGGTTCTTCAACAAGTAAGTTCAAGTTTTATTTTTAGAATGGTAAACACACTTACAGTATGTTGAACTTAAATCCACTTTTTGTTCCCTCTTCACCAAGTACTGTATACATGTAACATCCTGTAGTGCCATCTTCTGGTGGTTTTCGGAACTGCATACATACATTTGACATATTGCTCATAGAATGCTGTAAAAGTAACAAATTAATTTACAGTTCACCGGATGCAACTTTATTGTCTCTGAGCTTGAGTAAAAACACGGTTTTGTGCTGCAGGAACATGGAGAAGATGTCACGGGTGACCACAGCCCTCGGCAGCAGCGCCATCAGTGGTCGAACGATGTTCTGCCACCTGGACGCTCCGGCCAACGCCATCAGCGTGTGCCGTGACGCCTCGCAGGTGGTGGTGGCCGGCCGCAACATCTTCAAGATCTACGCTCTGGAGGAGGATCAGTTTGTGGAGAAGCTGAATCTACGCGTGGGCCGCAAACCCTCGCTCAACTTCAGCTGTGCAGATGTCATGTGGCACCAGATGGAGGAGAACCTGCTGGCCACGGCTGCCACCAACGGGGCGGTGGTCACCTGGAACCTGGGGAAACCGTCCCGTAACAAGCAGGACCAGTTGTTCACGGAGCACAAACGCACCGTCAACAAGGTGTGCTTCCACCCCACAGAGGTGTACATGCTGCTGAGTGGCTCGCAGGATGGCTTCATGAAGTGCTTCGACCTGCGCAAGAAGGAGTCCGTCAGCACGTTCTCAGGTAGGATATTATATGATAAGCCTCTGACCATTAGTATAAAGTGAAATACAACTGCTGAATGTATTGAACAATCTACTTCTATACTTCAGTTTTGCATTTTTATGCATTTCTTTTCTGGGATTCTGTTTAAACCAGTTTCTGTTATAGCAGAAATAATATTTTGCTGTAGGAAAAATATGAAACAAACTTGCTTAATTATTTTGTTGATTTTCTTTCTTCCAGGTCAGTCAGAGAGTGTAAGGGACGTCCAGTTCAGCATGAAGGATTATTTCACTTTTGCTGCGTCCTTTGAAAATGGCAATGTCCAGCTGTGGGACATCCGGCGGCCAGACCGCTACGAGCGAATGTTCACCGCTCATACTGGACCCGTGTTCTGCTGCGACTGGCACCCTGATGACAGGTACAAGAAAGTGTGACTCAAACAAACTTAGAAATGAAAGGTTTTCCTATATCTTGTGTCATACTAGTGCTTTAGTAGGGTTTTAATTGTAATTCCTAAATGGTTTTCTCTACCGTTACCTTTTATTTTAGGGGATGGCTGGCTACTGGCGGCAGGGACAAGATGGTGAAAGTTTGGGACATGACGACCAACCGGACCAAGGAAATCTTCTGTGTCCAGACCATCGCCTCAGTGGCGCGGGTCAAGTGGCGGCCTGAGAAGAAGTTCCATTTAGCCACCTGCTCCATGATGGTGGATCACAACATCTATGTGTGGGACGTCCGACGACCTTTCATTCCCTTCGCCACCTTTGAGGAACACAAGGATGTGACCACGGGTATCGTGTGGCGGCATCAACACGACCCTCACTTCCTGCTCTCTGGCTCTAAAGACAGCACTCTGTACCAACACATGTTCAAGGACGCCACTCGTCCCGTGGACAAGGCCAACCCCGAGGGTCTGTGCTTCGGACTGTTTGGGGATTTGGCTTTTGCAGCCAAGGAGAGTCTGATCAGCAGCGACTCCAACAGAAAGCCGTACCCCGGGGGAGACCGCCGCTACCCCATCTTTTTCTTCAAGAAGCCCGACCAGACTGAACAGTTTGCCCATGTGTCGAGCGCCCTCAGTGTCTTTGAGACGGACTTGGACAGTAACTGCATGGACTGGTTTGTCAAGACGGCACAGCTCTACCTCCTCTGTGGGAAGCCTTTCGCAGAGCTCTGTGATCACAACGCCAAAGTGGCCCGGGAGCTCAAAAGGCCTCAGGTCAGACACGGGAACAAATCTGTATTCAACGCTGTAATACTTTTACTTCCATGAATCATACAGTAATTGTCCTTTGCATGTGTTTATGAATAACCAATATGTGTCTTCTTTAACACAAAGGTTTCCACAACTTGGACCATGCTGAGAATCATGTTCTCAGACCCAGCAAACCTCACTCCCGGTCCAAACCACCCGCTCAGTAAACTGGGCACCCTGCCTTTAATGAACAGGTAAACTACTATTTCATAGTGCCATTACAAAGACAGCAACACAAGTTGTCATCTAATGCTGATGTTCGTTATACTTCCAGTTTCAACATGAAGGAAATGAACTCAGGGATGGGCGCAGAGAGCAGGCTGGAGCGCAGTAAAGGAGAGAGCAGGCAGGACAACCTGGAGCTCGGGAACTCGCTCATCAGCAACAATAATGAAGGTGAGAGCGGCCATGAAACTCCTACAGGCTTATCTGGATTGTCCTCCTGTGGTTTGTATTTTATTAAAGCCATTCGTTTCTATTACCCTTCAGATAACGAGGAGACGGAGGGCAGCGAGGGCCAGGCGGAGTATATGTTCGGTGATGCTGAGTTAGATGATGACGATCTCTACTCGATGGAGCACGACAACCAAACAGGTCAGTCCCGTCTCTGAGAGTTAGCTTCTGTCAGTGACTGCTGCTCTCCATGCTCAGCACTCTGATGTCTAATCTCTGCTCTTATTGTCCCACCAGAGGAGCAGGAGTACACGCTGCCTCAGGAGGCCTTCCAGCTGCGACACGAGATCATGGACAACCCGTCGGCTCCAGAGCATCTCCAGCAGGACAAGGCCGACTCCCCGCACGTCAGCGGCAACGAGGCGGAGGTCACGTGTCTGACTCCCATCGAGTCCTTCTCCCTCATCTCCATCTCCCAGCCGCTGTTCACCCCTCAGCTTCCGGCCAGCTTCTTCTGCCCCATTGTGCGCAAGATGCTCAGCTACTACGCCGAAAAAGGCGACGTGCAGATGGCCGTCTCCGTGCTGATCGTCCTCGGGGAACGCATCCGCAAAGAGATCGATGACCTCACGCAGGTCAGTCGTGTGTTGAGATCTTTAGTCCTTTACGACATTGCCGTTTTGTAGATCTCTGACTAAGTTGTGTTTCCATTTCAGGAGCACTGGTACACGTCCTACATCGACCTGCTGCAGAGGTTTGAGTTGTGGAACGTGTCCAATGAGGTGATCAAGTTGAGCACCTGCAGCGCCATCACCTGCCTGAACCAGACGTCCACCACGCTGCACATCAACTGCAGCAACTGCAAGCGGCCAATGAGCAACAGGGGCTGGATCTGTGACAGGTATGATGTTCACGCCAGTTACTTCCTGGAGTCTCCACAGGAATAACATACATTATTACATTCTACATAGGAAAATACCCTCAAAATTATCAATGACATGGCAGAACGATATCTCAAAAAGAGAATATATGCTTATTCATGGTGAGTAATTGTTAAACCGTTAATTGTGTGGGTAGAGTATTCCTTTCAATGCCCCCTCTGTACAGAACACTGAGTATTTATTTAAATCTTTAATAACCCCAGCTCTGACTGATGCCCTGCTCTCCTCCAGGTGCCACCAGTGTGCCAGTGTGTGTGCGGTGTGCCACCACGTGGTGAAGGGGCTGTTTGTGTGGTGTCAGGGCTGCAATCACGGAGGACATCTGGAGCACATCAGGAACTGGCTGAAGAGTAGCGCTCACTGCCCGGCCGGCTGCGGACACCTGTGTGAGTACACCTGAGCCAACCACTGCTCACACAGCTGCTGCTCCGTGGGAGGGGGAGTCGATCCTCACACACACACACACACACACGGGACAACGGGATGTCTTCATTTCTCCACACTGGCCTGGAGTCTCCCGTCTTTTTGGAAATAAGGACGACTCAAATGTGTGATTAACTGCGTCTAAAGGAGGAAGAGGGATCTATGTGCTCTCCTGGGAAGCCATTCAAACAAATTCACATTTGAATTTGAGCCATTTGTATATAAACTGATGTTACAATAGATATTCAGAAAATATAACAATATTTTTTGTTAAACACACTTGCTGCATTTTACATCGTTTTTAAACCCCTCAGTAAAATCCTGAAGGCTGTACAGGAAGGTTTGACTGTTCATATAAAGTGGATTGTTAATGTTTGTACATATGCTATATCTTATTTTGAAGGACTGTAGATAAAGAATTAATTTATATGGGAAATAGCTCTCTATTCACACAATACAATAAAGCAATACACTTGAACTGGTGGTGGATCAGTGCAGTCTGATTTGTGTTATATAATAGATTATATGAATATTTCTGAGGTTTTGAAGTGTGACTATTGTTGTGTAAAATGACACAAAAGCACAAACTGAGGGTTGAAGGAGAGAGCTTGGATAACAGCTTCAGCTCTCTGAGGGCAAGGGCTCTCTGGGGGCAAGGGGAAGTGGAAAACATTTGCTAAAAACAGTTTACACTGTGTGGCTAAAATACATGTTGCTGCTGCATTACATTGCTTCGTGATGGTACCGTTATATGTTTCCTAAACTAAAGCCCAGCTACAATTCAATCACAGTTGTAATACAACAGGATGTCATATTTTGTTAAAAACATTCTGCTAAAAGCTATTAACGATTAGGTTAATGTCTCTTTTAAAGGGTCCCTATGCCCATTTTCAGGTTGATATTTGTATGTAGTGTCTCTACTGGGACATGTCTCCATGCTTTAATGTTCAAAAAGCTCTTTATTTCTCCTCATACTTCCTGTGCAAGCAGCACCTCTTTTCCCCCTCTGTCTGAAACCAGAGCCCAGTCTGCTCTGATTGGTTAGCTGGCCGGCTCTGTTGTGATTGATGTCCTACCCCTTAGCCTATAACCTACCATCTGCTGGAGCACTAGCCAATACAAGCAAGAGTGTTACGTAGTGATGTCACTTGTTCTGGAAGTAAACAAAGGAGTCCAATATGCCGAATTATCCCTTAACTTCCTTTCAGTGTTTACATAGCTTTTCTCACTCATTGTGAACTGAATCCAGGTCAGTGTGACTTCCACTGAGCTTCATATATTCATTCAGCTGCACAGTACCTCTCCTCTTCTCCCCCTCTCAGATAAGTTTCAGTGGAGCACTCAGGATAAAAGTTTTGCTCGAGGGTAACCTCGGTGAGAGGAACTACTTATTCATTTCCCCCAACTACACTTTGCTCTTTTTGGGCCATAAATCCTAACTGGCAGCCCGCCAACGTCTCTAGCCTGAAGTCCAGCACAGTGTGCAGCCTGTCATCGTTAGTACAGCTCACCACCGCTCAGATAAACAACAGATAAGTGTGGAAACCAACAGAGACGACTTCTGTCCAGATAACCTCAGAGCAGCTTCCCTGTCCGTTACAGCCCAGCACTGTGGAGCCTGAAGGCAACACGATGGAGGATTTCACAAACTGGCAGTCATGGAATAAGTAGTTTAATCCTTCTTAGAAAGTATTAACAGAAAAGTGTGGAAATATTCTGTTACCATTAAAAATCTTGCTCTCCAAATGTTACTTAAGTACAAGTATTGGAATCAAAATATACAATAGTACTAAAAGTACCCATTATGAAATAACATCTTTTATTTAATTGGATTTTAATTAGTCATTTAATGTGTTCATCATTTTAATTTTGCAGTGAGCAAAGCAATACTGCCATGTATCTTCATCTATAATACTACATATTATATATCATTTACATTTGTCTGTTTATAATATGAAGCTGCAAAATAACTAGTAACTAACGTTGTCAAATCAATGTCAAAGAGTAAAATGCACAACATTTGCTTCCCAGTTATAATGGAGTAGAAATATAACGTAACATGAAATGGAAATACTAATATAGCTCAGTACTTGAGTAAATGTACTTAGCTACTTTCCAACACTGCAATCAAGTTGTCAGATTTACTGGCAGACCCTCGTGACATGAGTAAATCATCACTTAGAGATGGAGAATATTTGATCGGTGCAGCTACTCTCAGCACTGATTATTTATGTTTGTCACCCTTATTTACGACATATTTCAGAGTAATGTCTATGAGTTCACCATATTTCCCATTAAGAACTGCACAGTTGTCCTGTCCATCATGAGAGCCAGAGCAGTGATGTAGGAGTCTGTGCTTATTTTAAACCTGCAGGCTTCAGGCTGCTGTTCCTGGATCAGCTGCTGGAGATCAACTCAGCCAACATCCGCACCGAGCCAAGCTTGTTAACAGAGCAGCGGCTGTCCCCACATCGATTCACCGCCAAGGCCCCGGGCGTTTCAGATGTCAGTGAGCAGCAATCAGGAGGGGAATCCCTGACCCACGAGGCCACAAATTAAATGTAGACGACATCAATAGAGCCAGATAACTCTGAGCCACTCGATTAGTTTAGACAGTATAAAGTCCGGGAGGGAAGCCAAGGCAATATTAAGTGTGTTAGAGACTGTAGAATATTTAGTAAATATATCGCACAAACCTGCTGAAGTTGAATACAGAGCTCAACAAGCACTATAAATCACGTTAGATTATGTCTTAACACATTTTTGTCAAAGCTAGAGACTGAAATATTAAAGAGGCACAAATATAATGCATTGTGAACTGATGTCGGCACCACAAAGTCATAAATAATGCTTTGGGTTTCAGCTGCTTTTCCAAAAAGTTGTACCATTTTACAGGATTCCTGGATATGCAAACTAAAAAATAAATCTAGTTTCTTCAGCACTAGTGGGGCAGCTCCTAACATGTTGTCATAATGCATTCTCTGGTTACATTTAACGCCCAATTCCCCTTGGAAATCTTTGATGTATGGATCTCTTCTCTGCTGTTTCAATCATTTTGATGTGTGCGCAACCGCTCATTCCCCCCCCTGCTCTAAATACTCATCTTTGGGACTTCTGTGCAGATATTTTCTTCAAGCTTCTCTTTAAAAATTCTCTCATTTCTTTTAAAATAAGGATATTCAACCCAGTCTCACGGCGTTTCGTGTTATAGTCACGAAATTAATTTAATCTGTTGTGTTCACCAACACGATTTTCGCATTTCTTTCGTGTCACACAGAACGATTTCAATGTATTTCTATTGGTAGTATGTTTCGTGCCTGCACCACGTCTTTTTGTCCGGTCGGGTCTTGGAATACCAGAAGCTGTGTGGTTCATAAAAACATGTTCTTACTCAATATCTTACCCTAAGCCTAACGCTTTTATTTTAAATTGTATAATTTCGGAGTTTTTTTGCCGTCCGCGAGGAAAAGAAATGGGGCTCAGCGCCTCAGAATACTGAAATCTGTATTTGTCATTTTTTCCCCTTCTAATTTGTTATTATTTGGTTCAATCGTTCTGTGCCAGAATACTGAAATCTGTATTTTTTTTAAAAATCTGTTTTTCCTTCTAATTTGTTATTATTTACATTGCTTTTAAAATCGCTCTGACACGAATCAATAGATTAATTTTGTGACTAACACCAAATGCCGTGAGACTGTGTTGGGATATTAGGCTGTCTGTTTTACAAGAATGTGCTGCTTTAAATCACTGATTACATCCCAGTAAGCCTTTACATTTAATAAAATAACAATATCTCAATATAAACAAATAGGATCCACCCATTACTTTCAGTACTTTACTTTTATTTCAAATACAATCAAGCATATCTGTCATTTTAAAGGTTTGGGAGAATTTCATGGTAAGACAGATCACATTGAATAATATACTAACAATTGATGTAAATGATAAACTGACAGGTTTCAATCATTTCTCCAATAAATTCAAACAGCAAAAAAACAACAAGATTTCATTCAAGTCTGCTCAACGTTTTAAAAACTACTTTTTCTAACTTTGACTGCATTAAAGAAGTGTACCTCTTCGGCTTGTGGCTTGACACAATTTAACCACATTTCATGTTAGAAGAGAGAACATCTTTTAGGAACATTTCACAGTTTTACAACCTCTGATCCGCGACCAGTCTCTTTCTCTGTTTCCTCAACCCAACTACTGGAGTCGTAAACATCACAGCGAGCGAGCGTCTGCTTCCTGTTTGTCTTCCCCCTGCCGTCACACCTGGCCAGCTCTGGTCCCTTCAGCCAATCGCGGAGGAGCAGCAGGTCAGCTGATTCTCTCCGAGCCGCTCAGGCCCGGCCTCGTCTTTGGCCTTCTCTCGTTTCAGTGAGATTGTTCAGGGTGGTGAAATCACCCTCCGTCAAATGATTGGCAAAGGCCTCTGCAAAGTCAAGAAACTGAGGTTCTTTTCTTTTAGGTTTTACCGTTCAGCACTTTTTATCCAGCACCATTTAGTTGTAGTGACTCACCTGTTGAAGTTAAGGCCGCTCCCAGCTGTCTGAGACTTTTTCGGGGGCGCTCAGTCTCCTCAGACTCTGCAGCACCGTTTGCAGAGTCCCCGCTGTGAACATGAAACGAGCATTAGACGACATGAATGATGACACAGAACCAAAAGGCTCACTGAGCTTTACGCCGTCTTACCCAGTTCTTCTTCATGGGAATCCAGCTTCTTCAGCAGCTCTGCCACAGCGGAGCGAGTCAGGCCCTCCCCGGCTGCAACCACAAGTCATGAATTCAATAAATCACAACATGTAAAATCGGGGCAGGGCTGGACCCAATATTTTTCTTTTCACATCAGAAGATTCTATTGAAGTTTTCAAATTGAGTTTTACATTTTTGTCCCTACACATTGATTTTTTTTGTAGTTGTACAAATGTAACTTTTGGAGCTGTTCCTTTGTGTACAGAAAGCACGAGAGCGGCACGTTTTTTGACTGCAGTGAAAATGTTGTTTTGGAAAGTCTAAACGTTGAAAAGTACGGATTGAAACTGAAAATGTTGTGGGATAAAAACATTTTGGAAAGGGTCGCACCAATCTTTTTCCAATAAATGATTACATTTGCACTTTACAACATTCTTAACTTTTGAGTCAGAAATCTATGGAATCTAATTCAATAAATAGTATAAGACAAAACATTTGAATGTAGTCTAACCTCTTCTGGTTTTCACAGAATAAAAACAGATGTAGAATAATAATAATAATAATAATAGATTTAATTTGTTAGCGCTTTTACAGGTGCTCAAAGACGCTTTACAGATATAGTGAAGAGAAAAGAAAGGAACAACAAATAAATATATAGTTAAAGTTAAAGTCAAATAATACAAAAACAATCACACATTAAAAGCCAGATTGAAGAGGTGTGTTTTTGTGAGTTTTTTGAAGGTGGTGAGGTCGGTGCAGTCTCTGATGGGTTGTGGGAGTGAGTTCCAGAGGGAGGGGATACAGAGCAGAATACAGCATTTGAATGTATAAACTTCGAGCTGCTTGTTACAGCCCTAAAAAGGTTTGTTTCCTTCCTCCTCACCTTTCACACCGTTGTCACCATTAGTTTGATCTTCCGCGCCCCTATACGAGCTGTCAGCAGCGATGCAGACGAGCAGGTCAGCGCTGCAGGCCCGGGTCCTGGCGAGCGTGGCGTTCATCTCCTGAGAGAGCCGGTGGTTCTCCACCAGCTCTCCGTGGACCCTGCTCCACGCCATCTTGTCCTCCATCAGACATCCCTCCATCACGGTGCGCAGCTCCTTCTCCTGAGACACCTGGCTCTGCAGGCTCTCCGCCTCCTCACAGTGCTGCACGGAGACACAGTTAGGTTGATAGTTGATTCTTTTTTTTTTTTTAAATGTTTTTAAGACACATAGAAAAGACATTTGGCACATCGATAGGAACCACAGTTACGGCCCGTCTGCACTACAGGCATCGAAAAATGCTTTCAACGCTTCGCCCATTCACTTGAATGGGGTGACGTAGAAGATTTTTAATCTTCGCCGAACTGCATTGTGGGGAGCATGGCATGGCTTTGCAAGCATCACGAGCATCTATCGATCAACTCGATGCTTGGCATCAGCCAATCAAATCCCGTTTATGCAAATCCCGCCAGTGCAAGGGCTAGCCAATCAAACCGCGTGCAAGCTGGGAGAGCCAGACCGCAGTTCATTTCCTCATATTCCAAACGAGAAATTACGGTAGCAAATCACCCGGTTCTTTACGACCGGAACTATTTACCGGGATACAAACCGGAGGAACCAGGCATGGAGGGAGGTGGCAGAGACAGTGGGTGAAACTGGTAGGTTTTCGCCTGTTTGGAGAGTTTATATCCAGTTTACTTCGTTTTAACATTGCTATTGCTTTGTATGTCGGGGGCGGGAGATTCATGTGATTGGTTGTTGGTCGCGTTGCTCGCAAAAAATCGCCAAGCTTCAGACACGCCCAGCTTCAAGATTTTTTGATGCCTGTAGTGTAGACGGGCCGTAACAAATGATCAACAGTTCAAAGCTACTAGTGTTCACCTTAGTCTCTACTATTTTACGTCAATTGACATAGCTGACCTTCACTTGAAGGCGTACAATATTTAAACCACAATTATAACCCAAACAGACCATGTAGCCAAAATGTAACCGAGTATTGTACTGACTAACAGGACAAAACAAAAATAAATAATAACAAAACGGTACAAAGATAAAAACTAAATATAATGAAGAGGGAGAAGAACTTCTGTCTCTTTTTGTTCAGAAGTTACAGAGAGAGTTTTGTAGTTACTTTGTGGAGCTGGATGGCCATTTCCTGCATCTCCGCTTCCAGCTTGTCGGCGTACGCCTGTTCCAGAGCGTCGCCGGGGGGGCGGGCGCTGCTGTGCCACCTCGCTATCGCCGAGGCCATCCGTCGCTTTGGTCCAAACAGTCTGCAGAGCAAAGGATGAGTCCCATTTTTTTTCTGCCATGAGAAAACAACACACTGAGGAATTGAGAAAGAGCCTCTTACGTGATCCCTATTTCTTTGAGATCATTTTCAGTCAGCGTGAGAAATATCCGCAGGTCGATGTCCTGCTCCTCGAGCACGGGGAGATACTTAGAGAAACCGATTTGTTCCAGGAACTCTGTCAGATCCTACAGGAAGAAGACTTCAGAGTCAACTGGCTATACATCTCACACCTAGGTTATTATTGTAAACTGAAAGCTACTCTACGGCTAAAATATAAAATCTAATTATACCTTTCAGAGAAAACTCAAGCACTAAACTATTAGAACATTGCCACACATCATTACTGATCATAATCCAGACAAACGAGCACATGCCTTTGGACCAGAGTATGAAGGAGGGAGAACGACTTGTGAGAGCATCGCACTGTTTCCTGAATCGCTGCCGCCATGGCGACTCTTTCCTTTTGAGTGATGGCCCTTGTTCACTCTGCGAGAGACGCTCTTCTTGCACGAGTCAGAGTCCTGGTGGAGAGGAACAGACAGGGGGTCACGGAGAGATGTCTCAATGTTTGACTCTGAATCAGCGGGTGATCTCGCTCTTGCTCACCTCGTTGCTCTCCACCGAGCCCTCCCAGCTGAGGTCCACGACGTGAGGAAGACCCTCGCTGCTGCTGCTGCTGCTCTTCATGGTCGGCATGTCGTTGTCTAGGAATGGACTGTCGTCTGTGGAGGGATCAGGAAATGTTGAATTGGCAGACCCAAGGACATTGTAGCTCAGGACATTACTTAATATACAATGCAGTCGTTCTTCCAAAGAATACTGGTTACATACTTAAGACTAAGGCTGGGTAATATGTCGATTATACATCTGTCGTAAAATGGGACGAGATCGTCTCAGAATTTGGATATCATAATTATGTCAGGGTGTTACGTGCCAGGCAGGCTGGACTTGTGTGGTTTTCCTTCCCTTCTGTGTTTTCTCTCTTCTGCACAGCTAATCAGCAGCTGATCGGTATCTGCCTGTGCACCTGAGTCTGATGGCTGATTGGATCCTCTCACCCTCAGCTGGCCTATCAGCAGCCAGGGCCGACCATAAAGGAGGCACCCAGGAAGTCTTCTCGCTCTCTCTCACCATGGGCCTGTTGCTGATGAAGGAGCCTGCAATTGACTGCCTTGAGTAGAAAGTTATTCTACTTTGTTTGTTCTGACCTTTGTTAATGTGTGTGTGTTGAGAGGTGGGGGAGTTAGGTAAGTCTGGGGTACCCTGTACATTTCTCATCACGTAGGTAACTAATGTTAAGACACACTAGGTTAGCGGATTGTTGCCACCCCTGTATTCAGTTTTTTCCAGCTCTGAGTAGTTTAGTTAGTGAGGGTTTTTGTTTGAGTTTTGGTTTCAAAGGATAGATGTAGAGATAGGCTTGGTTTTGTTATGCTTGTTTCTTTTGTTTGGCACAATCTCCTTTGACTCCTCCTCCTCCTCACACAAAGAATATTTCTGTTTAAATTCTGTTCAGTTAGGTTTACAAGTAATAAACCTTTTGTCAACCTTTACTCTGACTCCCTCATAATTATTGGTTGTTGTTGTTGTGTGTTATTGTCTCCAGGACCTTAGTGGAGACGTAACAAAGTGTAAGGGAAACTTCTGCAGCAATGGAGAGTCAGGACTCAGAGAGACACGAGGAGAGTTGGAGCTTTGATGTCAAACACTGATGTTTATTTACAAGTATCGGCCGGAGAAATTCGCATCACAAGTCACACAGCCAGAGATTCTGACTGCCCTGGTGGGTTGCCATGTCAAATCTGACCAGCCTACCTCTCGATAGACCATTTAACTAGTTTACAGAGAGTTAATCCACATATTGGGGGATAGTGCGTAAACACTGGGAACACTGGAGATATCCCCGACATCTGGAAATACTCAATCCCCTGTCTGTGGGGCTTAGAAAGCCTGCGTTCTCACAGTCATAAAACCCTCTATGACTGATAGTAAAACTGAGAACAACATCACGTGACTGCATTATCACATTCCTTACAGGAGATAACAATCTCAGGGTTGGTCGTAAACGTCAACAGGCAGAAAGGTTAAATATCTAAAGTAAATAAATATTCTTTGACAGTAAGTATTGCCTTTTTCTGGTTTTAAAGGCTCCATTACAGACGGACTGTTCAAGCTCTTCTATAACTCGTCTCAGTCATTCAATAACCAAAACTGATTATCAGCTTTCTCATGGTGTGAATATTGTATGAAAGCACTAATCATAAGCTCTTCAATATCATGATAACACAAACGCTGGTAGTCCTCTCACCTCTGCTGCTGTTGCTGCTCTGGCCGTCCAGCTCGTTGATGGGCGAGGTCACGTCACGGTAACAGATGCCGTCGCTTTGTTCGCCGATGTCACCCAACGCAACGTAGCCTGGCGCTGCTGCAGGAGGCTCTGAGGAGAGAAGCAGGCATTAATGTCTCCTTCTGCTACTCCAACCTCTAGTTATCAATGGCAGCATGCTAAAAGTTACAGATTTCTATACAGAGACAAACATAGTAAGTGTCAATCAATCTCCTTAATGCATGATTGTATTTATTTGTTCTATATACTTGTGTGTAATTGGACTAACTAGAGTCTCTATGCTACATGTATGGATGCAGGATATCTTATGAGACACTACCACACAGTTTGCTGGAGCCTCCTACTCGGAACTTGTCGATGGCCTTGGGTCCGTCATGGATGCTAACGCCTTTAGCTCGGGTTCGACTCGGCCTGACCCGCGGCGGGGCGCTGTCCGAGTCCTCAGAGGAGCTCAGGTCCTCAAAATGTCCTTAAAACAAGTTGGAAAAGAAACTAAGTAAGAAATAAAAGACAGAAAAGATGTGTTGTAAAATCTATTTGAACAAAGTACCAGGTTTGATCCTAGGAGAGCGTGAGTCGATGAGGCTGACGATCTTGGTGTAGCCGTACAGCATGGCGAGGGCTCGGGCCGTCTCTCCTTTAGAGTTGCGTTCATCTATTTTAACTTTCTGTGAATTATTCAAAGAAAGTCAAGAGAGTAAGGAATCCTCTTCGTCGTGAAATGTCTTTGACTGTGGTTAGTTGCGTGCACGTTACTCACATGATCGAGCAGGTACTGAACAATGATTTCATGTCCAGAAGCCGCGGCCTCCATCAGGGTGGTGAAACCAGACAATGGCTCCCTGAGGAAGACATAGGGTTAGGTCATAGAAAGCTATCTGATTGGTATGTTTCAGTACGTTTGGGATACATGAAGCCACTGACTTGACATTGGCGTCAGCGTTGTTATCCAGCAGGAAGCGGACCATCTGCTGGTGTCCGGTGCTGGTGCAGTGGAACAGAGCCGTCCAGCCTCGAGTGTCCTTCAGCTCCAACTCAGCGCCATGCTTTTGGGGTAAGGAACACAAAAAGTATTACAACTTTAAATAACAAAGTGTAAAAACGTAAATCAAGAAAAGACAAAAACGTTCTTCTATCGGCATGATGTCTAAGCTAAGAGATGCTTGAACTTTAGCCTATGACTTTGTTACCACATTTGATTGTTTGCATTAAATATACAAACAAAACGACATTGCATGGCATGAACTGACTTATTACCTGTAGCAGAAAGTATGCGATGCTCTCATTCCCACAGCTGGCTGCCAACATCAGGGGGGTCAGACCTTTGGCAGTCATAGCATTCACATTCACACCGGCCTCCAGGAGGAGATTTGCGATGTTGTCATGGCCGATGTAAGAGGCATACATCACTGGGGTCCATCCTCCAATGTTCTTACCATTCAGGTCCACCTCACGCCTATAAACACACAAGATCATAGTCAATAAACAGTTCAATCTAGTTATATTTGTACGATCTTTAATATTGGAGCACCCACTCTTTGATGCACCCTGACACCACGTCGTACTGGCCGATGGAGCAGGCGGTGTGGAGGTCCAAAGGGACGTCCAGCTCCTCGGGAAGGACCAGGAAGTCTCCGAGCCACATGGAGAGGCTGGCCCCCAGCTGGTCCGACTCACTGGCTTCATCACTGAGCTCAGACATCTTCTACCTCCTCCCTCCACACAGCTAAAAGACCAGTTAAGTTTATAATGCATACACAAATAATCCTTTTCATTTTCAGATTACATTCCCCTGAGTTACTCCCAATTTTGTCCCGGATATTTCAATTAGACATCCTTTCCTTAGAATCACATCATGTATTTTCAGAACCATGATTTACATCTCTCCCTCTTTTCCACAACGTCTTGTCTTGGAAACATTTTTAATAGCATATTTACAAACATTTGATTCCATTTATTTTAACATTAAATAAAGTAGGAGGTCCCCCTGAGGTGTCGCCTACTCTTCAACAACACATCTCTCTTTAAAATGTCCTATTTTTTTTAACATAACAAAAGCTGCCACTCCCTCTCTCTGTATTTACCATACTTTACCATAGTGACCATTGTTCTCCTAAATCTGTATGGGGGCAACAAAGACATCAAACATATTCTCAAATTCAGTGCATTAACCTCTTATTTACCATCAGTTTACACACGGGTGATGTCAAGGCAATACACAAAGTCCTGAAATTGTTCTATTGCTACCTTGGTGGAATACATGTCCTTCTAACTGTGATTCTTCCTTCTTTCCAAAGTATTATTATATTAAACGTTTTAACATGATCACATATTTAATCTTTGCCTGGCACAGTCTTCCTACAGTTTTATCCTCCTTATTTTATCATCTCATGACAAAAGGGACATTTTGTTCATCCTCTATTTTTCCTTTTAGCATCCAATTATTCTCTTTAGTTAGCTCAGTGTTAGCTTCACCGTTATCCGTGTATGAACTTTTCCCTATCACACACCTACCTAATAAACTACAGATAACACTAGTTAACCAAACGACACACTAAATGATCAAATATTTAACAAGATATGCGAATGTCAAGAGTTAAAACTTACATTCAGCAGGTAATTTAGAGTTAGTTCTCAGCGGTGAAACTTTTTTGTTTGGTGTGTCACACTCAAATGCGCTCGTGTTGAAGCCATGCCCTGCCCTTTCCTGTGTGAAAGATGCTGCTTATCTTTTTTCACTGCACAATCACGATTTAAATATGAATAAAATCGCTTAAATTAGTGGCTTTTAAAGTAAATAAATGTGTTTTACTGAGATATAAAAAGTAACTTAAAGTAGTTTGCTTTTGTGAACCAGTAGATTTTTGTCATATGTTGGTCCTGTCTACACTGTTTAGATTTTCCATTACATTACATGTTACTTGTTTCCATTACATTACATGTCACATTACAATCCAAAGCGACTTACATACTCAATACTGTTACTGTGGGCAATCCCCACAGGAGCAATTTGGGGTGAAGTGTCTTGCACTGGGACACAATGACATGCTGACTGCAGTGGGGTTTGAACCTGTGGTTTGAACCTGTTCTCCCCTGATCCGAACACCAACGCACTAGCCCACTGCGCCACACGCCTCCACATTGATTCTGAATACTCCCACTATGATAATGTATTGTTTTGTTTTAATCCACTCTACTTCCCTAAAAATCAATACTGTATCATCAATTTGATCTAACTAACAAATCTACATTTTCAAAGCAGAAACAACCCTTTTTTTATTTTTGAAAACGTAATCAAAACATAATTAAACAATCAAAACAAGACCACACACACATTAAAAAAAAATACTTTATTTAGATTCACGTATATGTGTATCTTCAATGCATCCCACAGTCACAGTTCCTCATCATGTATGGTGAAACGTGTCTTCAGGGTAGAAATCAGATAAAATCGAAGCGAAACTCCTCCTTTGATGGAGTAAAGAGAAAAGCTGACTTCTCCTCTTGCGTCTGTTCTTTCAGGTCTTTATCCTGGGCTTCAGGTTGTTTCAGGCTATCCTCTGTGGATGGTGTCTGGTTTTTTACGTCAGCTCTCCGGTGGAAAACAGACTTCTTTGGAGTGTCTGACACTTCTTTGACCTTAGCTGATGCAAGCTCTGTTGGGATGGGAGAAATCTGTCAATTAACAGCACTTGGACATATCATTACATTCCCTACACAGTTCATGAATATGTTTTATTACAATCCACTCACCGGTTTTGATAAGTTTGTGCTGCTTGCTTTTCTCCTGGTCCATTTTCTTCCTGTAATCTCCGGTCATGGCTCTCATCACCTGCCTCTTCTTGGCCAGGGGAGCTTTGGTGCTTCGCAGAGTCTTCAGGGCTCGAGAGGCTTCCTCCTCTGCGGGGAGAAAATACGGTATTAACATGTGGGCTGTATCTAGATACGCTGTATTTACCTCCTTTTGAAATAATTGTATGAAGTGGTTCGAACTGTCGTTTTTTTGTATATTCATATCATTTCTTGGCTGCTAGTTCACCTCCTTTTATTGTGCTGCTACTTATGCTTATTTTTCATCATGGCTGTGTACTTATTTGACTGTATTACATCTGTGTTTGCCTCAATTATTTAACATGTTGGCCTACTTATTTTATTTTTGCTTTCATCTGCACTGTTTGCTGCTGTATCACTGTAAATGTCTCCTCTGTGGGTTGTATAAAGGATTTCTGATTCTGGTTCCAATCACTAGGACCTGGTTGCCTAGTTATGGCTTTTTATTCCTGTTTTTATGGTCATTCAAGTCTATTTTCCCTTATTGTGAAGATCTTCTGCTGCATTGTTTGTGTGAAAGGTGCTATACAAGTTAGATGAGTGTATTGATTCCCTGTGTACCTCAACACATGGTCTGAGAAGTCATATTTTGTGTGACCAGAGGCCTGTACTACGAATCCAGTTCAACATACCCTGGATATGTTTGAGTTACCCGGTTGACCTAATCCAAAACAAACGCGCTCTCGCTAAGCGGTCCTACGACGCTGGTTATTAACTCGGTAACTCAAGCCAGGGTTTCTCTCTCCAGCTGAGTGCGCATTCACATGAAAGGGGCGGGGTTAGCAAC